CCAAAGTTTGGGTACAATAAGATCATTGGACAGAGTAATCATAGCACAATATATAGTCCTCTCAGACTGAATAGGAATGACAGCCACAGCTGCATGTTTAGGGCCATGGGACACATTTGTATATCCCCAGCCACTAGGTTGAATACACTAATTACATACTCTGATTCCCATTTGGGGAATATTGAAAAATGCTATATCCCCTCACTGAGACTGTCTATACTTCTCCCCAGAGGAGGGGGGGGCAAGAACAGTTACAATGCACCATACTTGTAGTGGACCTGGTAAGTCACAGAGCATGTCTTGATGTCAGGAAGATGTCACCAGCATTCAGGCTGCCTCTGCAATAAGCAAAAACAAAAACTGATAATACTTGAGCTCTCACTGGGGAGCCACACCACTGGTGCCCCTGGGGTTTGAGATGTGTGCAACCTATTACAGGGGTCATTTATGGAGAAGGTGGCTGTGGCAGCCACTACAGTGCTAAACTTAAAACCACTGGCAATTGTATTCTTTCCAGTCAAAGCTCTGATCTGTGGCTATCCACTGTGAGGAGACCAGGAACAACAAGATAGTTGTAATTATTCTTTTAAAAACTTTCAAGAGAGAGCCACTTAAGGAATGAACAATTTATGTCTTTTCAGGAATTCCCTAAGGTTTCCTCTGAGTGGATATGTGGGATCAGGAACACCTGGGCAATTCTCAATGATTTGTAAGAGCAAGAGAAGTTGCATATCTGGTCAGAGGTCCTCTAATTTGTGGAGAGCAATATGCTAGAGTAAGAGTTATAGACAGCTCTGTATTTGGAATAGAGGTAAAGGTGTATCCCACCTGCCCTCCCTCCACCAAGAAGCTATAATGTCCTGGCCTGTAACTGATACCAAGCCATCCCCTGACATGCCACCTGCTCTGCATCTCCCAGTTCTGGACCACCGTTTTTCCTCTCCTTGGGGGAATTTTAAAGTGGTCACCACCAAATATGTTGCTCCTCAATGGAAGTCAGGTGTGGTAGTTTGTTGGGGCTGCCATAACAAAGTACCACAGATTGGGTGGCTTAAACAACAGAAGTTGGTTTTTTCACAGTTTTGGAGGCCACCAGTCCAAGATCAAGGTGTCTGCTGGGTTGATTTCTTCTGAGGCCTCTCTTCTTGGCTTGTGATGGCTGACTTCTCCCTCTATCTTCACCTGGTCTTTCCTCTGTATCTGTGTCCTAATCTCCACTTCTTATAAGGACACCGATTATATTGGATTAAGGCCCAATCTCATGACTTCATTTAACCCTAATTACCTCTTTAAAGGCCCTGTCTCAAAACACGGTCACACTCTGAGGTACTGGGGGTTAAGACTTCAACATATGAATCTTGGGTGGACACCACTCAGCCTGTAACATCAGGTTTGTTTGTTTGTTTGGTTGGTTGGTTTTTAAATATTGGTTTAACCCAAGGGCAAGTCTACATTGACTTGACAATGTGGGGAGTTGACCTTATTTTTAGGTGAACATATTTTCCCCTGGATTGAACACTGTGGCCACTGACTCCTGGGTTATATTCCAAATGGCTCCTCGGTCTACATTTTACTCTCAGTTGAAACTGACCTTATAGAGAATGTCTAGGTGTATTTTACAGCACTATGGCAGACATGTGAATGGTTCTCTGGTATGAATTCCTCAATTTTTGTTTTTTTAAACGCTTTTATTGAGATATAATTCACATACCACACAATTCACTAATTTAAAGTATAGAGTTTAATAGTTTTGGTATATTCATATATATGTACAACCATCACCACAATTTTAGAACATTTTCATCACTTCAAAAAGAGATCCCTCTGCCCTTCAGCTATACTCCCGTACTTCTATGCACCCTCTTCCCTTATGTTGTTCTCAATTTTTATTATGGAGATTTTTAAATACTCAAAAAGATTATGTTAATAGGGGGCGTGTAATGCAAGAAGAAATTTCAACACCACCTCTGAAACAAAAGTTTAACTTGAATCTAATCAAGCCTCCATTTCTACCTTCCAATTTATAGGTAATATACAGGAAACAGACAAATCCATTGATTTATGATTTATTCAGTGCAAGACATAAGCTCTTCAAAAAACCAGTGGAATGAAAAGAAAAAGTGGCAGAACTGTTCTATATTAAAAAGGACTCTTCAGAGACACAGTAATCAAATGCAGTGAGTGAACCTTGATACAAAAAAAAAAGCTGTAGAAGATATCTTGGGAACAATGGGAAAATTAGAATACAGAATGGATATAATATTTAATATTAGTTACATTTGATGATGATATAGAATTATTTCTAAATTTTTAAGTGTGACTGGCATTTTAGTTGTATAGAAGAATATAAGGCCTTTCTCTCACTGTCTGTAGTGAAGACTGATGCAGCACTCTGTAGGTAAGTTCCTCTAATAAATGCTTTGGACTGATCACCGTGGTGTTTAGAGCTTCTTTCTTTGGAATCCCCAACCAGCCTCATCTTGGGATGGTTTGGGGTAATCCCTTATGGGGACTCCCCTACCACTGCTTTTTGGAGTGATTCCAGCCATGGGTTCAACCAGATGGAACTTTTATACTTTTATTAGTTTTGTAATTTTGAAGTATCTTTTTATCCTTTCTTATGTCCTGAGAGACATATCCTCAAATAGATTGTGAATTCCCAAAGGGAAGCATTGTATTACCATGATTTTTACAAATAAAGAAAGACTTGACCAGCTGGATATTGATTCCATTTACCCAAATATGAGTTGGAATTTCTTTGGCTGATAGATGTCATGATACAGATTGAAATTACTGAATAGTTAGGCAATTATGTCACTGAAATACCTTGATGTCTGAGCAGTGACATCATTCTGGACTGGATGAATAGATTTTTGTAGGAAAAAAAATATGCTTGTAGATAAGGGCAACATGCTGGATGGGGGGGGCTGGAATTTGCATTTTTTAGTATGTGTCCAAGCGATTCTTATGCTTTTGTAAAATTCGAGAATGACTGGACTAGTATATTAATGAATAATCATCACTCCGTGGGATCAGATGTGGGGTCAGCAGATTGAATCAGAATTAATGACCCAACCCACATAAAAGAGTAGGTGAAAAGAAAGACCAGGTCGAACACCATAATTGCCCTAATGTACATGAATATTCTTTTTAAGCATTTCCTGATGTGGTGGCAATAGTCTTGTGCTCCTCGTCAGAGAGTCCTGAGTTCTCTCCTTCCAGCATCAAATGGGGATGTGTGAACTTGTGTTGGACTTACCATCTCTCTGAATCTCTGATTCTCAGTCTCTATAAAATGTGGCAAAGTTGTGCCACCTACATGAGCTGATGTAAAAGAAGGCTCCTGGTATACTTTATTCAATGCATATTTGTCGATTGATGAAATGCTTCAAAACCTCAATTCTCAGATGACTTCTTAATTATTCCCTGTTTATCTCATCCTGTCCTATACAGTGACAACTCCCAAATTTACATCTTCAGCTGTGGTTACCTCACCTAACTCCAGACTCCTATTCCAACCACCTGTTTGACATTTCCTCTTGGGTGTCTAATTGGCATTTTTAACTTAACACATCCAAAACAAAACTATCAATCCTTCTTCCTAACCCTGTTTCTTTCAGGCCACCCCATTTCTAAAAGACAATCTTATGCTAGTTGCTCAGATCAATAACCATGGAGTATCATCCTTAATCAACATTCAGCTCATTAGCATATCATGCTGGCCATGCCTTCAAAATATATTCAGAACCATTTCTCACCACCTCCATCACTTCTAAACTACTCCAAGCCACCATCATTCCTCGCCTGGAATATTGCAATAGCATATTAATCTCCCTGCTTCTAGCCCACCTTCAGACTGTTCTCAACAGGGCAGCCAGTGCAAACTTGAAAAATGTAAGTCATGGAGTGAAACTTTCACGCAAGGTTGATTTTAGAATGACTAAGGACAGAGAGTAAGGAATTCACAGAATTTACAGGAACATATTTCTTGACTCCTTTCGTGTCAGATAGCTAACAAGTCTTTGAATATGTGGCAGGGGGAAAAAGCTAGGTCATGTCACTCCTCTGTCCCCAAATCCTCCAGTTGCTAGCTCTTTACATTATTCAGAGCAAATCCAAAGCCCTTATCATAGCCTACAAGGTCCTAAACGTGCATTCTCCCCACCTCGCTCCCGAGTCAAGACTTTTGCCTAAGAGGGCACGCTTGAAGCTGACTTGGGTGGGGCAAGGGCAATATATGTAACCTAAACATTTGTACCCCCATAATATGCTGAAATAAAAAAAAAAAAAAAAGACTTTTGCTCCTAATGTTCTGCTTATCGGGAACATTCTTCCCCCAGATAGCCGCATGCTTCAACGGCTCACTTCCTGTCTCTGCCTTCCCTGACTGTCATCTATAAAATAGTCCTACCATCGTCTCCTTCTTTCCTCTTACTGCTACATTCTGGGTTATTTATTTATCATTGCTTCTTTGACTTGAATATAATCCCAATGGGACAGGGAGTTGGTTTTCTTCTAGTGTCATCGCAGCGTCTAGCACAGTGACACAGTAGGCATCCAATACGTATTTTCATATGCTGCCAATAAACCATAGCTGATCCTGGCTTTGAGATTGAAAGATGCAAGATCTGTGGTAGGAAAGATGACCTTTTTGCTCAGCTGGGGGTGTGTGACTTCAAGGAGTCTCAGTCCGCGGAAGGTAGCCTAGCCTGGCCGCCCAGTTGACTGGTTTCTTCTCTTCCCGCCCTAACAGACCCCCTTCCCCAAATTCCACCCCTTCCAGGGCCCTCCTCTCATTGGCTGAAGTCTCCAAGCTCTCCCAGCCAATAGAAGGACAAAGCCCGGGCGGGAGGCGGGGCCAGAGCGCTCGCGCACCCCACTGTGCTTCCGAGCGGGCGGGAGGACTCCAGCCGGGGGGCACAGAGACGCGGAGCCCTCCTGAAGCCTAGAAGGGCTGGAGGGTCAGGTCAGGATGGGAGTTAGTGGGGAGTCGCTGACGCAGTTCCTTCTCTGCTTTGTTCCAAGATGTGGGTCCGTCGCGTTCGGTGAGGGGTGCGCGGCAGCCTGGCGTGGGGGCCGGGCCAGGTTCTGGGAGTGTGCGGGGCACACAGGCCAGGAGCCAGGCCTCCTCTGGGACTGTCCGCTGCTGAGACGGGCGCTGCAGCCATGGGGTCGTTGCGGGCCTCCCCTCCTCTTGTTGAGCGCTGCCTCTTTGTCTAGGATCTTGTCTCCAACTCCTCATAGCTGCTCTCTCCGACCAGGCTGGTGTGGTGACAGAACTGTGTCATCCCTGCTCCTAGCGGGTGGGCTGTCCGGGTAATAGTGATTCAGGCCCCGCCCAAGCTCTCAGAGGACCCCACAGCTCCTGAGTATTAGACTCAGATCACCAGCTCAACCTCCGTTACCAGTGAGGAAACTAGGGTCCAAAGAGGAGGACAGAGTCTTGCCCAAGGTTACTCATTCATTCATTTATCTATTCAACAAATCTTTATTGAGCACCAGCCCCATAGTGTGCTAGGTCCTGGGGTTACAGTTGTGTATAAGGCAGAACTAAATTCTGGTAGGGAAGAAATGAAACAAACTTGAAGGGTGGGGGGTCGGGGGGAAACACAAAACATATTTTGAGAACTAGTAATCCTAAGAAATGGTTCATCAGAAAAAAACATTCATTTTCTAGTGCTCCTTTCAGAAATAAGCCTTATTTCTTCCTATCTCTCTAAAGACATTTGACTTGGCAAAGTTCCCCTCTTGTCACCCTTTGCAAAAACTTTCTGTGGAAAGCGGGATTGCAGAGAACGTCTCAATTGGAATGCATCTTGCAGTTAGAGGCTTTTAGATATCAACAGAACAGGTGAAAAGGATGGCTGTGGTGTGATGGAATGAGGATTTCCTTCAGACACTGAAGGCTTGTCACTCACTAGTTGTATGACCTTGGGCAAATCATTCAGTCCCTGGGAACTGCATTTCCTCATCTTTAAAATGGAAACTATCCTCCTTGCTGCTCACAGTTCTATAGCAAGGGAGGTTACCCAAGGATGGGACACTGCTCTGAGTGTCCACTTGGAGTTAAGGTCTCAGAGAATGCAATCATTTATATCTGTTTACAGTGATTCAAGACCCCATTAGGAACTTCTTTACTGAACCCAAGGAACAGAGCAGGCAAGATCTGTGCTGGGCAGATCCTTTGGATTGAGGCTGCTGCACACAGGAGTGTGGGTGAGTCATCCCTTTCTCTCTTGGGCAGGTGTGACCTAGATTGTGAAGTTAGTCTGGGGACAGGAATCCTGCCTGCTAAAGGATATGGGGAACAGAATTGAAAGGGAATATTTCTCAATGGTTATTTATCAAACAGGAGAAAAGCACAGAAGTGGTGGGTGGGGGTCTGGACCTTAAGTAGAGTTTTGGTATGGGAGTAAGGGTGATGCAGTAGAACTGAAAATTGGGCATTGTGACACTTGGATTTGAGTGCTAGCTCTCCTCTAAGTTCCAGTTTCCCCATCTGTATACTTAGATATAAGACTAGGTAGTCTGGGAGGTCCCTTCTAGTTTAAACATTCTGAGAGTCTCTGAGTAGTGGGACTTGGATGGCTCTGTTGAGATAGAATTGCCAAGAATGCAAATATACCATCATGTTGCTTCTCAGACAATATGAAACATAAAAAAGATAAACGGATGGAGGAGGGATGGTGTGACGATGTGCGGATTCACCTCTGTGCACTCAAGATATTAGATAGAATCCTGAACTTGTTTAACATTTCACATCAAACAACACTTACTGAACCTCTTTGTACCAGTCACTGTGTGGCATCCACAGGGGAATATCATGGGTCCTATTTTCTGGGGCTTAGAGCTTAATATGTACATGGGAGGATGGGGGACATAGGCATACACACAAGCCATTCTAGTATAAAGCCAACTCTATATTACAGATTTGTTATGGTTTTTTTTACAAGTACAGAAATTTTTGTATGCCAGATATATTAGCTTTTTCATCAGGGTGTTAGCCTTTGTTTTATGCTTGAGGCTTAGGCCTTTCCCTGAGAGCAAGTAGTCAGTCCCTTTATATTTTCTTCTAGTTCTTATTTTTCATTTCAATGTTTACATTTCACTCATTTGTCCTTTGAATTTATTTTCAGGTATTTCCTCTTATTCTTACTCCGTTGCAATTAATCAATAACCAAGGACCATTCCTCAGAGGGACCTGAATAGGCAGGTGATGCTCGTGGATTAAAGGAATACAGCCTCCTGGGTAAAGCCTCTCTCTCTCTGTCTCTCTCTCTGTTTCTTTCTGGGAATAGGACTGTGCCCTTTGTGGGTTCTTCACAGCCTGAAATGGATAGTGGTCCTGGAATCAGAGCACTTATCTACCAGTCTCAGAGATTTGTGGGTTGGAGATCTGTAGGGCTTTATTGGTCCTCATCCATTTGCAGGCTGTCTGAGGTTGCGCTTTTGTGCACAGTTGCTTAGATATCCCTAGTGTCCTACTGGCCCAATGGCCTCATCTTTCCCCCCTCCAAACTTCTTTAGCCAAGGCCCCACCTCAAGAATTTGGATATACCTCAAAGAGCTAAAAATAGAAATACCTTTTGATCCAGCAACAGCACTTTGGGTAGGCATCTACCCAAAGGAACAAAAGACATTCTATAATAAACACATCTTCCAGGATTTCTGAGGGAATTTCCCATCCAGTCAGGCAGAGGGCAGCAAATAGTTAGGTTTTCTTTTGATCAAATTCTCCTCAAACTGGTCTTCCCCATCTAGTCTTGCTTTCCCCTCAGGTCCTCCAGAACTGCCCTGGGCTTCCTCACAATGCACCCCTGAGCATTTTTTGTTCTCCCTACCTGCCACTTCTAACCCAAGTCTTTTTCAATAAGCTTATGCATTTTCATGACTTCCTCTGTCCTCTTACTGTTCTCAAATTTGCATTCCTGATATATTCCTCCTTCCCTTGTCTAAAGTGTTTTCCCATGTCCGCGTCTTATTTAGTGGTACTACCATTCTTGATACTCAGACATGAATCTGACGTCCTTGGATTGTTTCCTCTATAACCAGTCTGATGTATGTGGATGCTTTCTGGAAAATAACTGGATTTCATTGTGCTCTGTCCTGTTAAGACTAGGGTCTTCTTATCTTATTTATTTGTTCATTCATTCAACAGACATTTATTGGGCACCTACAAAGTGCCAGGCCCTTTAATGGTTACCCATATTGCATTCCTAAAGTTGTCTCCCAACTCATTTCCCTTCCTCTTTTCTTTTCCCTTCTGATCCATCTGGGCTAATCTTCCTAAAGGATTATTTTTCTAATTTCACTTTTGGGTAGGGTAATACAAAATTTATTGTCCAAACTGGTGTATTTTTGTGAGTTAAGGGGGACACTATTAAATATGATGCTAGGATAGCAGCACTGTTCTGGGAAAACCAGGCTATATGATTACCTACTCCTAGGCGGCAGCTCCTAGATTCTTTTCTTTTTATTTCCCTCAATTTACTCCCCTTGGGATACCCCAGCTGCCTCTCTCCTCTGTTTTCCTCTTCATGAAGCTGGGGGAATCATGAATGTTCTGGGAGGTGGTGGAGGAAGGAGGTATGGGAACTAGGGGAAGTGAATGGTAATTCTTGAAAAACTGTATTGACAAGTGAGAAAGAGAAGGGAAGTAATAAGAGAGGAGAATAGCAACGTGGAAAAAAGAATGTAGGGTGGGGAAAAGAAAATTAAGCGTTGATTTTACTCTTCTGTTTAGAACTTGTTTCCTATGAAACAAACATCAGTTTGTATCCGTATCTTTTCTCTTGTAATTTGATTGTTCTGGCTGGAATCACTTCAGGCAACTTGATTTTTCCATTTGTTCATTCAACAATGACAAAAAATTTTGAGTGCTTATGATGTGCCTGGAACTGTTGTAGGTGCTAGGAATATAGTGGCGAACAAGATGGAGAAAATCCCTGCCCACATTAAGCTCACGTTATAGTGTAATCTCCCACTTAGTTTCGGGTACGCCAATCCTGTGCGACCTTCCTTTTGAGAAAAGAATTATTGCTTATTCTCTGGGGCTCAGCCTAAGTTCTGCCTTTTTAAAGCCCTTTCCCCAGCATTCAAGCCCCAGTAATTGCTCCCTCCCTCTCCTAGTCCCCTTCATCTCCGGCTTGGATGGTTTGTAAATTGTAAATTTGCTCTCTTGTTTCTTTGCCATACTACTCCATTGTTACCTCCTTAAAGGTAGGTATGATATTTCATGCTTGTATTAGTCTGCTGGGGCTACCATAACATACCATAATATCATTAAAAAAGAGAAAAAATTAGGGGAAAAAACATAATACCATAGACTGAATGGCTTAAACAATAGAAATTTATTTTCTTATAGTTCTGGAGGTCAGAATTTCCAGGCGACTGGCCAATGTGGTTTCTGGTGAGAAGTTTCATCCTAGCTTATAGATGGCCACCTTGTTACTATGTATTGACATAGCTTTTGTGTGTGTGAATGGGGGAGAGAAAGTATGCATGTGAGAGCTTTCGTATGTCTCTTCTTATAAGGACACTAATCCTGTTGGATCAGGGCCCACCTTTATAAACTTATTTAACTTTAATTATCTCCTTAGAAGGTCCATCTACAGTCACATTGGGGGTTAGAGCTTCAACATAGGAATTTTAAAGGGACAAAAACATTCAGTCCATAACAATACTGCTTTAAATTTTCCCTGTGTTGGACCCAGAACAGTGATATGTACAGAGTAGCATGTGCTCAGTAATTATTAGTTTAAGAAATGTACAGGTCGAACGTGGTGGCTCACGCCTGTAATCCTAGCACTCTGGGAGACCAAGGTGGGAGGATCGCTCGAGGTCAGGAGTTTGAGACCAGCCTGAGCAAGACTGAGACCCCGTCTCCACTAAAAATAAGAAGAAATTAGCTGGACAA